CCGCAAATCTTGGCTATATCTTGACATTCTGAAGTGACCTTTGCTGTGGTTTCTCCTCCTCAGGGCTCTGGAGATGTGAAGTACCATCTGGGAATGTACCATCGGCGTATCAACCGTGTGACGGACAGGAACATCACCTTGTCTCTGATGGCCAACCCGTCTCATCTAGAGGCAGTGGATCCCGTGGTGCAGGGAAAGGTCAAAGCTGAGCAGTTCTACTGTGGAGACAACGACGGCAAGCGGGTGAGGCTGAGTAACAGTCAAAACCAAACTACATTTAAAAGAGACATTGCTTCTAAACTAGCTTTGAGGATTCACCGTATGTTTCCTCTGCTCTAGGACGTTTCCACAAGGATCTGTTATCCTTTAAGTTACATTACTTAGGGTACAATTTGTTATATTTCACTAGGATTACACATTATTAGCTTTAATACAATCATTTCTATCACAGTTACTTCTGGTGAGAGCGTAAGGGCTATCACTTTGGATAGTCTTGCCAGCTTCATCAACCTTTTCTAGCCAAAGACACTGTTTTTAAGATTTTAAACTGACTGTTATTAAGTTATAACACTTTTTCAGGAGCGAAACTAACCATTTGGATTACCAATATGTGATAAGATCATCCGAATCACCCGTGTTTGGAAGTTTGCGTCGATGTTTGGAGCTGGGAGAAGCTGCTGGCTGTATGAGATCAGCCGGTCAGCTTGAATAGAGGACACAATGTTTCATGGTTACTTTCACTGCCTGAACCGGAGACACGGGTTCGCACTGCAAATCTAACCATAGGATATTTCATAATATTTCAAATACAAATTATAAGAGCAACCAATTTGGCGGTAGCCAACTAGATGGATAACATTCGCTAGCTTGCTTGTTAGATGGGTAGCTAAGGTAAGCTAGCTAACTAGTAAGGTAGATGGCGAATGTTAGCTAGCTTGTAAAGTAGGTTGAATACTGACTTGTAAAAGTGCTTTGAGGGTTTTTTAAGACTGTAAAAGCGCTGTATAAATGCATTCCATTTAGCATTTATGCTACCAGATGCTTTGTTGAATTTTGACCAAACTGTAACAGTGACTCGTTACAGACATTATGATGGTTATTATTTGTTTGTTGTGTTTTATGTGGGTAGTGTCCAAATGCTTGTGTGTGGACCAGAAAGAATGGTCCATGCTAATGCTAATAACAATTCTAATAAAGATAAACCGAAAGCATGCACTAAAAAAAACACAGATTAATTGAATTTGTTCTTCTCCAGGTGATGTCCATCCTGCTCCACGGAGACGCAGCTTTCGCCGGGCAGGGTGTCGTCTACGAAACCTTCCACCTGTCTCACCTGCCGTCCTACACCACGCACGGCACCGTGCACGTTGTCGTCAACAACCAGGTAACATACCTGAACAGACGTACTCAAGCAATTCTCTTTCTGAAGTTCATCACTTCATCTCTGCACTGTTTTTTACCAGAGGTAGAAAAATGACTTAGATCTTGTACTTTAGTAAAAGTAGAGTACCAGAGTGTAGGAATACTCTGTTACAATGCAGGACAAGTCAAAGTCCTGCATTTACTCGAGTAAAAGTCAAAAAGTATTGGCACCAAAATATACTTGAAGTACAAAAAATGTAAGTACTCATTATCATGAAAGACATGTAATATAATGTATATGTTTTGATTATAATTATTGATGTATTAATGTGTTATCAAAGCTTTTTTTTCCCTTTGTATACTGCAGGGTAGCTTGTACATTTACTCCAGGTGTAGCAACACATTTAAAGTCTCTCAAAATTGTACCTAAAGGTGGGGTAGGTAAGTTTGAAAAACCGGCTCGAGATACACTTTTTGTTATATTCCATGGAATGCTCTTAACATCCCGATAGCAATGAATATCTGAAGTGCTTTGACAAAAAATCCATAAAAAATATCATCTCTGGAAGCCGTGGCGCTGTAAAAAGCACGACCAATCATCTGAGCCGGCCCGGCTAAAGTAACTGGATGGCCTACCTGCCTGTCAGCCTTCCATCTGTGCACAAACTTATCTTGTGCCCTCATTGGTCATGTGCGCGTTCGTGTGTATTGGAGGAGGGGCTCTGTGAGGAAGAGGCAGATTTTTTCCAGCTGTGTATTATCAAATTCTAGCGCACTCGAGCTGGTTTCTCCAAAATGACCTACCCCACCTTTAAGTACAGGTCTTGAGTAATTCTACTTAGCTACTTTTCACCTCTGTTTTTTACCTACAACTGAACAGATACAAGAAAGAAAAAAAGTTAGTTTCGCTACTGGTAATCCGCAACATATAATTGAGAAGTCAAACCTGAAAGGATGTTTACAGAAAACACATTTTATTTCTTATATAATTAACAATCAAACTATGTGAGTTAGGAGGACTCTAGGAAGCAAACGGGCAGATGGATGACTGAGCTCTAACCCTGTGTCTCCAGATCGGCTTCACTACAGATCCTCGTGTGGCTCGCTCCTCTCCGTATCCAACCGACGTGGCTCGGGTCGTCAACGCTCCCATCTTCCACGTCAATGCCGACGACCCGGAGGCCGTCATCTACGTCTGTAAGGTGGCCGCCGAGTGGAGGGCCACGTTCCACAAAGACGTGGTGGTCGACCTGGTCAGTGTCATCGTTTTTAGGTAAAAACTCCAAATTGTTGTGAGATTGTGAGAGACTTACACGTGTGTGTGCAGGTTTGTTACCGTCGGATGGGTCACAACGAGATGGACGAGCCGATGTTCACACAGCCGCTGATGTACAAACAGATCAAGAAGCAGAAGCCGGTTCTGCAGAAGTATGCAGAGAAACTGATCGCAGAGGGAGCCGTCAACCGGCAGGAGTACGAGGTAACAAGACACTTCTTCTACTTCGAGTTTTTCCGTCTCCACATAGCTCTATTTTCTGGCAGAAAGTTATTCTCCAATTTCAACAGTGACCGACACTTTTGTGAAATCTTGAAATATTCTCAAACCAAAACGTTCAAAGAAATTGCAGTGAAATCAGAAACGGGAGTGTGAAGCTGACAATTGAGCGGCCCGACCAAGCAAGGAGGCAGAGGCAGAACGTCCAAAAATACAACCCGGTGTGGGCATTTATTAAAACATGAACACATTACACACAGCCTCAATCCTGCTTCTGCTGTTCACGTGAGCCCAGCCTGCAGCCACCAGGATCTCACACACACTCCCTGCCCCCCTAACAGACAGGGAAACAGAGCCTAAATACACACACTCTAATCAGCACAACAAGACACACGTGAGGGGGGGAGACAACACCGGACACCAGGTGCACACAATCAACGACAGACATGGGGGAAGGGGAACACTTTTCAACAACAATACAACCCGTAACGGAGGCCGAGATCTATGAGCCCAGAGATCACCTCCGTGACAGGAAGACGCTGGGAAATAAGAAAGAGCAGCAACACATTACTTCATGACCAAGTTATTGTTACTGTTAGAAAATAGCACAGCAGAGTTTTCGGCTGACGAAGGAACCGTAACGCGGCGCAGACGGACCCGTGGAATCTAGGGGTTAGTAACTTGTTGACGTGAAATGTGTTGCTCTCTTTACATCTCCACTAGCTGGGTCGTCACACAACACATTTATGATTATTTTTGTTAGCATCATTAAACATAGCAATGTCCGTCCCTTGTCCTGTTGCTACTGCTGTGTGTGTGTGGATGTCTGGTGTTCTGATTTTGGCACTAAACACACTCCTCTCTTCTTTCACTCGGTCTCTGTTTGCAGGAGGAGATTGCCAAATATGACAAGATCTGTGAGGAGGCATACAATCGCTCCAAAGATGAGAAGATCCTCCACATCAAGCACTGGCTGGACTCCCCCTGGCCTGGTAAGGGGGAGAGGGGACGGGGGAGACCATGCATTTGTGTCTATCTATAATATTTTCTTGTCCTTAATTTTCACGGGGTTGTAAAATCATAATTTGTTATTACCTCGTTTTTAACAAAGTGTCATAGCGATCATATAGAACAAGCTTATCAGGGCAGCGATGAAAAGGCACTGTGCGGTCACTTTTAAGCAGATGAAGAAAGAATGTTCTGCAGTGAAAACAGAGGCCAGTAAAAAAACGCCTTGACAGGCAGATTAGAAAAGTGCAATCTTAACGAAATTAGTTTTTGCGTCTTTTGTTCAGACATATGACTTTTTAGGGCCTTAATCTGTCAAATTGATCGATGGGCTTCAGATGTTTCCCTTTTTATTATTAAAAAAAATCCTAAAATGTATGTTCACACTGATCAGTCAGGATCTGAAGCCTTCACCTTAATTTTTAGGGCTGTACACAAAATATACTTATTTAAATTACTTATACTTACTTAATCAACTTTCTATTAAGATTTCAAAAAGCCTTCCAATGTCTTTCATGACGTAATCATACACATTGCAGATTTATTTTTAATTATAGCAAAATTATTTTTATTCTATTCATATTCTCATTTCATTAGATATAAACATGTTGTGAAGTAACATATATATTTTTTCAATAGTGGCAAAAATACTGGAAATGATATAAATGCTGCAGAGCATTCAAATGTTGATTTGGAATCCTTTTTCCACCCTTCTAAATGAAGCCCAGGTCACTGAGTTTCTGGTCCGGTTTTGAGGGTCTCTGTCAGGTAGTTGACATGTTGAACTCTTGTCTTCAGGTTTTTTCACTCTGGATGGACAGCCAAAGGCCATGAGCTGCCCCTCCACCGGCCTGACTGAAGAGATGCTGAACCACATCGGGGGCGTGGCCTCGTCCGTCCCTGTGGAGGACTTCACCATCCACGGAGGTCTGACGCCATAATGCATTTGACTGGCAAATGATTTGCACCGTTAACTAACAGTAACAAACAAATCATCCTTACAGTAAATAGTCTTTATTTCCAGTTCTGCCTTTTTGTAGTTCTAAGATATGTTATAGATATATATATCTATAAGTGCACTGACCTCCCCACCTTTAAGACACTGACATAAACGCACCTTTTCAGTCTGGCTTTTAATGTGTGATTAATGTTGTTTAAGTAGCCATTTTTAATTCAACTTTGTATTTGTTTATACCACTGTAAAGTGTCTTTGAGCATTGGATAAAGCACTTGGAACTAAAATGTATTATTATTATTTATCTTTTTAAAGAGGCCCTATTATGTGCATAGGTTCAAGTCAGATAGTTTTCCATTGTTTTCTTCTGTAACATAATGACATCACTGTTTAACAATTGTGCTCTCGGCCAGCGCTCCAACACATTGCACGCCATGTGCTAAAGGGTTGGGACATTTCCGACACATCTCTTAGCAGTTTACCAATTAAAAAAAGAGCCGTCCAGCTAACTAATCAGAGCAGACTGGGCTCTGGTTTCAGACAGAGGGTGAAAAGAGGTGCTGCAGCACAGGCAGTATGAGAAAGATAAAGAGCTTTTTGAACATTAAAGCACGGAGACATGTCCCAGTAGAGACACTACATACTGATATGAAGCTGAAAAGGAGCATAATATCATGTCCTCTTTAATCTTCTAAAATCATATGAATGGTGACATCCAGACTGTATTCTGACCCTCAGTGATCATGCTTTGTTGTTTCAGGTCTGAGTCGTATCCTGAAAAGCCGCGGCGAGATGATTCGTAACCGCACAGTGGATTGGGCTCTGGGAGAGTACATGGCCTTCGGATCTCTGCTGCAGGAGGGAACCCACATCAGGCTGTCGGGGCAGGACGTGGAGCGAGGCACCTTCAGGTAATTACCCAGAACCTCATCTGCGTCCATCTCTTCTAATGTTCTCCTCCCGCTTTGGGGTGAGTTCTTGGACCGAATTTTAGTTCGGCTCAGGAGCAGAAAGTTAGTCGAGGGTCAGGTTCTCTCTGGAGGAAATGAAACAGCTGTTTTGTATTAGATGTAGAAGTGTGTTTCAACATACAGACAACTATCCTGATTCAGAATATCTATATCTATAAAAGCAAAATATCACCCTTTTTTTATTGAATCAACCTTAGATGAAGTACATTAACAGTTTCCAACATTTCCCCTTTTTGTACCATACTTGCCTCGTGTGAGTGTAAAGCAGCCTTTTGTTTCCAACTTTCTTTGTCCAACATATTTTCAATATTTACAATTGTTTAGAGATCATTTCAAGTAATTTTGCTTAAAAAAAACAGTCTCACAATGTCCAGGAACATCAAAATAGATGTGTATGTATCTAAGAACTAAACTGTCCTTTAACAGTTGATAACCTGTGAAAGGATACTTCTAATCTCCCCTCAAAGAACATCACTTCAAGTTCAAATGAAATCATTGGTATCCTTGATCTACACATGATGGAGTGATGTGGGATTCATTGTAGCTGCATATATTTAGCAGACCTTTCAGGCAGTCACACCTGTAATTCAAACCTAGTGAAGCAAGGGAATAATAATAATGTCTACCTCTATTTCCCCAGGCAGGACTGGGTTATCCTTAATGTACACCATCTGTTTACCACTTCCCAAAAATCCTTCAGTGCTTAAAGCAGAAGTAGGGAGTCAGTGTTAAGATCTAATAACTTTGGTATCTATTTTCTTATAATGATCAAATCAAGAGATTGAAATGAAATATTCTTGGGTTACTAAGAACCAGCCAAGTAAGCTTCACATAAACAATTGTTGATTTCCTGCAGTGGAGAACAGAGAGAAAGTATGAGATCAAATGACACAGTTCTGTAATGTTGTCCTGCACACTCAACCTGTCGTCCTCTCTCAGCCACCGTCACCATGTGCTCCACGATCAGAACGTGGACAAGAGGATCTGCATTCCCATGAACCACCTCGCTCCTGACCAGGCGCCGTACACCGTCTGCAACAGCTCGCTGTCCGAGTACGGAGTCCTTGGTGAGGCTTCACTGTTCCTCTGCAGCTGCACATAAAGCTCCGAATGATCTCATTCTGGACACCATGAGCATAACCAGAGGCCCCACCCCCCCATATTCTATTAAAGATATCAGACCCTCCCTTTTAAAGCATAGGTTATTTTCTCTAAGGCCAGACAATGAGAGATATTTAACATATTGTTAAATTAAGTCTGTTATCGGATCGCGAAACAGGCTGTCATCAGACTGGCAGGGGCTGTTACCTGCTCTGCTCAACCCCCTCTGTTTGAATGTTGTTTCTTTAGACATTTTGTCTCTAGTATTTATTTGTTTATACTTGTAGAAAATATTTTAGTGCACTTGTAATACCTGTGCTGTATTTGTTTCTGAAACATGACACTGTGTTTGTGAGTGAGGCATTTGTAAAACGTGTTCAGTTTGTTTGAGGAGTTATGGCAGGAAATTAGCTCCATAATTACGACTGTCGTGCTAACTGCACAAAAGGAAGCCGAGCACCCAAGGCCACATTTGGTGTTTACACTGAATCTGTGGGCATGTAAGCAGGCCCTTCACTGGCTATAGGTTTCAATAAATAAAACGTAGTTATCATTGAATTACTGGTTCAATTGGGCAAAAAGGCATGTCAGGGTGTGCATGAATATCAGTGCTGTAAAGTAACTAGGTACTTACTTTACTCAAGTACACTTGTGAGATACTAGTACTTTACTGGAGTATTTCATTCTTATTTTGCTACTTTGTACTTCTACCCCACTACCATTCAGATGAATCGTGTACTTACTTTGCAGAATTGGATTAATGATTAAATCTAATCAAGTGTTAAATCAGACTTTAGTTCCACCTGGAGTAAATTCACAAGCTACCCTGCAGTATACAAAGTCATTCAAACTAGCTGCACCTTCACCAGCTTTGAGAACACAATACTTTTGAATTTTTACTTAAGTAACATTTGCAATGCAGGACTTTTACTTGTGACATAGTATTCGTACACTCTGGTACTTCTACTTTTACTTAAGTACAAAATATGAGTACTTCTTTCACCACTGATGAATATAGGAAAACTGGACTAGTCTTCTGTCTGCAGATTAACAGCATAAATGTTTATATTTTCTGTTGTGTGTGTCTGTAGGCTTCGAGTTGGGTTTTGCGATGGCGAGTCCCAACGCTCTGATCCTGTGGGAGGCTCAGTTCGGAGACTTCCACAACACGGCCCAGTGCATCATCGACCAGTTCATCTGTCCCGGGCAGGCCAAGTGGGTCCGGCAGAACGGCATCGTGCTGCTGCTGCCGCACGGCATGGAGGGCATGGTGAGGAACACACACACACACACACACACACACACACACACACACACCACACACACACGTACAGCGTGGTGTAGACATTATGTCTGAGACTACAGGCTGATAAACATAAATATAATAATACTTTTACTATACTATATTGAAAAAAATATATAAGTTCAGTGATAAGGAAAAAGGAAATCAGTCATTAATTCCAATTTAACTGGAAAAATATACCCAACAATAATGTTTTTAAAAAACTACAATTATAAACATGTTTTAAATAAAATGGCAGGCTAGCATTAATAACAACAATGTTTAAGACATCATTTTAAAATACATCACTGAAATACTTTAATTTATCCGTGATCTTTAAGTGGAAAATATAAGTTGTTTAACTCCTATCATAAAGAGGAACATATCAACAAAAACTCTGATTTTTAATTCCTTATTTATGGCATCTAACAAAAAACATTTCACAATAAAGCTGACTTGACCAGGGAACTGGAAAATTCATTGCAAACTAGTTTCCGGGTTTAAGTAAATGATTCCTGCACCACTCTATTGGCCCTGCCAGTTCTCCCTCCCCAGCATTGAACCAAATGTAGGAGCGTTATTTAGCCTCCTCCCGACAAGCTATCTGGACCTGGTACCAATGGATTCCTCATGTTTCATATGATACCAGGACCTTCATCCAACTTTAAAGGTCCCATGTCATAGCCATTTCTACTAGAATAGATTTACATTGTTCAATTTTCCAAACTCACATTGGTTTCTCATACAGCATCTCTGTATAGTATGTGTATTCACTCTCTGTCCTAAACGGCTTGTTGGAGCTCCTGCCCCCCCCTCCCTATGAGCCCACTATGCTCTGATTGGTCAGCTCGCCCACTCTGTTCTGATGAGTCCACCACCGTTACAGCTAAACATCAGTGTGTATGTTTTACAATGGCATTAGTTAGCAACCAGAAAATGATACCAGTAATGACAAACAGATGAGAATGCTGCGTGGGGTCTGGGTGCCGTATTGGCGGGACGTTGCGGAAGACTCACTGCTGGAGCGGACAGTGTGAGCTGGCCATAGAAGTAGGGGTGCTGGGGGTGCCGGGAAGTAGGGGTGCTGGGGGTGCTGCAGAATCTGGAGAATCACAAAACGACCGTTGACGACTCGGTTCGCTCACGGCCGGCACCGCCCTTAATGTGTTTTTAAACGTCATCATTGAAGCTGCGCTGACAGGCGACAGAGGTCCACCGTGTCCACGCAGCGAGGCTACCCCCCGTTGACAATTCGCTGCACCCCCTAAGTAAAATGACTTCCTGCGGCTATGGAGCTGGCTTACTGGTGTCGTTTCCTAGTTGCTGCTTGGGGTCTGCGAGACAGCGAAACCCAGCCCGAAACCCGCAGCCTGGCTGTGAGTCTGTGTGTGTGCTCAGGCCGAGCCTCGCCGCGTCTCGCTGTCTCAGGCTGAGAAATCCACGGAGCTGCAGCTGAGAAAAGATTGAGTGTGTGTGAGGAAGTCCGCGGATTGGTCCGTGGAGTCGTTATGTCACTATACCCAATACGTCACTATACCCAAGAAGAAAAATATGGAAAAAGAAAAATCTCCAACGAGGCGTTCTGGGGCAGCATAGACAGGTATTTTCTGTGTTAGAATTGTACTCGCTAGGGTGTACTTTGAGGGTTTGTGACTCTGCAGACCGTTTACATGCAGAACAAGCTTCATAACACACAAGGGGACGGGTAATAACCGGAAAAGCATGACATGGGACCTTTAAAGCTGCATCCAGAGCAGGCATGGGCAAACTAAGGCCCGCGGGAGAAAACTAAGGCCATATATGGCCCGTTGGGCTTTTTAATCCGGCCCGCCGAATATTGGTACAAAATTGTCCAAATTATAGTAAAGACCGCTGTCACTACCCGATCTGTCCCCCTGCCCGATCTGTACTGCGCATGTGCGAGATGGTCCGCCATATTGGACAACTCCGTACGGCAACCCAAGATGGACACTTGACACAGTGGCTTTTAGCAAAGCTCAAAAAGAAAACTCGAGAGAGATGAGTTATTGTTATTACAACGTGACTTCACTATTATTTAACAACTCTTTTTATCGGGTTCTTTTATTTGGGGTTAAGTACATTGTCAGAATAAGTGAGAAATGAATTTAACTTCTGTTAGACAGCCATTACATTACATTGCATTTAGCTGACGCTTTTATCCAAAGCGACTTACAATAAGTACATTCGACCAGGAAGACACAACCTTGAAGAAAACAGAATCATATAAGTACATCAGGTTTCATAGAGCCAAACATTTCAAGTGCTACTCAACTGGCTTTAGATAAGCCTGTCCTTTATTAGTATATAAGAGGTTTGTTAATAAATCTATCACTCAAAGTGGAGTCGAAAGAGATGAGTTTTCAGTTTGCGCCGGAAGATGTGCAAGCTATCTGCTGTCCTGATGTCAATGGGGAGCTCATTCCACCATCTTGGAGCCAGGATAGCAAACCCACGTGTTTTTGCTGATGGGAACTTGGGTCCCCCTCGCAGCGAGGGTGCAGCGAGTCGTTTGGCTGATGCAGAGCGTAGTGCACGCGCTGGGGTGTACGGTTTAACCATGTCCTGGATGTACGAAGGGCCAGATCCATTCGCAGCATGGTAAGCAAGTACCAGTGTCTTGAAGCTATCATACTGAATAAATATTTACTGTGAATGTATGCAAACATTTATGGCATATGGCTGTCTAACAGAAGTTAAATTCTGTTTATTTTGTGTAGAAAACGGTTTATGCCACAATATGATAAACATGTAGTCGAGATAGTCTGATTAGCTTCGGTTGCTATGCTAACATCACCTGTAGAATGCCAGAGAAACTTTCATAACAGCGTTGTGATGCCAAACAGCGTCAATTCAGACTGAAACACATTCACTGATGGGGATGGGGGATATCTATCAGCTGCTTGTGTGAGAGTCGGACAGTGAATACTTTTCAGCGGCCGCTGCCACGAGTTAACAGTAGAGTTGACTAAACTCCGGTGGAAGAGCAGCGCTGCAGCGGGCGGTAATCCCGCTGAACCACATTAATAAACAGCACTCTGGAGAAAGGTATAAGGTTGAAGAAGTAGTTATTTAATTTATTCTGGCTTCGTATGATTAAAAACTACCCGACGCAGTCCTCTATTGATGTTGTTGTGAGCGGTGTTGCGGAGAAAATCAGTGACGTAAAACGCTGTGTGGGTCATAAGAAGGCACGTAAACGGTTACGTCATTACGCAAACGATGACGCAATGACGCAATAATTCACCTTTGAACCTAATTCACCTTTGAACCTGCATCTGTAATAATGAGTGGACCAAAGAAAGGAAAAGTCAACAAATCAAATCAAGTTTTATTTATATAGCACATTTATAAACGATTTTTGGTCGAGCCAAAGTGCTGTACATAAAATAAAAATAGCCTACAGTAGAGACACTTTACAGCAAATACAACAGCACAGATTATTCAGAATATCAGTATGAGAAAAACGACACCCTCTATCCTTAGACCCTCACATCGTACAAGGAAAAACTTCCAGAGAAAATCCACAGTTTAAGGGGAAAAAAATGGGAGAAACCTCAGGGAGAGCAACAGAGGAGGGATCCCTCTCCCAGGACGGACAGACGTGCAATAGATGCCGTGTGTAAATCGAAGAGATAATACATTTTACAGCATATAGACCGAATGTTAGGAAATGCATGTGTCTGTAATAAGAAGATGAATCCACGAGGATGTCAGCTACAATCCTGTGGAAGCCATCAGGGAAGCAGCATGGCGAGACCCAAGGCAGGACCGCAGAGACAGGTTCAGTCACGACCCGAAGTCCACGACTTAATCCAGAACTCAGGATAGAGGATCCAAGACACAGGACTACAGCAAGAGGATCAGCCTCGACTCCGGATCCCGGCGTAGATATAGATACAAAACAAGAAAAAAGATTTGGCTGGGTTAATCGGAACAAGAGAATACACAGACACAGACAGAGAGGGAAAAGGTCATTGGATACAAGTTATTCTTGATAACCCTCTAGAAAGATCTCATGAACTTCCCCACTCAATCTATCAAGACCCGAGCAGTTCTATTAGATATAGGATAAGAAACAGAGATAGGGAGCACAACAACCTATCTCTTCGTCAGATGCACTCCCCCGCTTATCTAAGCGACTCTGTACCCCGTTACCCTCTACAAGGCCATAGACCAGCAGAGGGAAAATGGGGGGTGTGTAAGGGTAACGATTTTTAAGAATAAACCGCAAGGGTCTAAAGGGAAAAAAGATGAAATATAAGGTACTATATTTTAAGTAATCCTATCTACTATTCCTATATTCGAATAATGTATAAACTATTTAAAAAATACTTTATGAAATCCTATGTTATGTTATGTTATAACAATGAGTGCCGAGTGTTTAATGAGTGGACGGCTAAATATTTTTTCACCGATTTGCTACTGGCCCAGCCCGTCTGTTACATTTTAAAACTCATAGTGACCCCCGAGCCAAAAAGTTTGCCCACCCCTGAGAGTGTGTATAAGTGTGTGATGGCTTGTTTGTGTCCGCAGGGTCCGGAACATTCTTCAGCTCGTCCAGAGAGATTCCTCCAGATGTGCAACGACGACCCCGACGTCATGCCGGTAAAACTGCTGTTTTGGCTTCTGAGCAATTTGAGATCACAACAGTCCTCTTTTTAATACATAAGCTTCTTTGAACATTAGGAAAATAGATATAGTCACTTCAAAAAGACAGATTGTAAGTGCTGGTGCATTAGTGATCAGCCTTGAAACATATTGCTCCTCCGTCCACTGTACAATTAGTGTGGTACTGTAGTTTATTCAGATTCCTTTAATATAACTGCTTGTCACATGTGTGCCACGACTATTCTGAAGGCCCTGTCGTACCTGAATCCCACATTGGGACGAGATCACCGTCTCACTATTCAGATTTCTGAAGGGATTAACATTATGTATGTTTATTTTTAATATGGAAGGTTATTTAGTTGTAGGTACTGTAGGTAGATTTGGTTAGCAGGTAAAAGACAAGGGATCCTTTATGACACAAATTCCAAAATAACATGGTAGCAAGCAAATCTCCAATACAGAACCCTCTGCTCCATCATATCAAAAAACATTTCAAAACCAATTGTACAAACATGAGTAATCCAGAAAGTTAATAAATAAATGAGTTGGAAAATCTAAAAGCTACTTTTGATCATTTCTGGCTTATTTTGTAACACAACATTACCTGTTTCTGGTACAATATAGTTCAAAATGTGTTTTCCCAGCTAATTTCAATATCTCATTTGTTTAGACATCGCATCTCATTATGATCTCACTGAGAGAGTTTCTGCTCTTTAGGACAAGTTACCAAACCATGACATTAAAGAAAAAGACAGAATTGACACGATAAAACATGAACGTCGTGGTATTGTCAATGTCAAAATAGGACAGTTTCCTAAGACAAAAGAATCGCTGCTGCGGGTACGTTGTTGGACATGTGAGATTTGTTCTGCATAATTCTAGCAGGTAATTTCTCCAAGACGAAGTCAGACACCATTTTCAAAAATCACATCGCAGCTGCACGGCCACCCGTCATTTTTAAACTCACTCTCGTGGCCTGAGGCAGGTACCAAGAGTTTAGGATGGATAACTGATGTACAGCCTGAAGAGGAATCTCTATAGCAGCTATACTTTAGGGCTTAATTATTTCTGTTGCAAGTATTTCTTTTGTATATGATTGTTAAAGCAATTCCTCTCCCCCTCTCTCAGAGCCTCACAGAGGACTTTGCGGTGCGTCAGCTCTACGACTGTAACTGGATCGTGGTGAACTGTTCGTCTCCTGGAAACTACTTCCATGTCCTCAGACGACAGATCCTTCTGCCATTCAGAAAGCCTGTGAGACTCACACACACTCATGGCTGTCTGAATATATACGAGCACTCGCTCTTCCTCCTCCTATTTCTCCTCCTCATCCTCTCCTATCTCCTAATCCTATTCATCTTCTTCTTCTATCCTATTCTATTCACTTTTGAAAAACTGTCTCTGTATACTCTTGATACTTCAGTTAGGTTGTGTAATGACGATTTGACCTGATAAACGTCCTGTTTGTCCCTCCAGCTGATTGTCTTCACTCCCAAGTCTCTGCTGCGTCTCCCAGAAGCCAGATCCAGCTTTGACATGATGCTTCCTGGTACCATTATAATCATAATTGATCATAATAAAAAATAATCTTTCAAAGGGCTCAGTGTGACCTTCAGTGTCTCTCCTGCAGGCACTCAGTTCCAGAGGCTGATCCCAGAGGGAGGCTTAGCGTCGCAGAGCCCGGAGGAGGTGAAGCGCGTGATCTTCTGCACAGGGAAGATTTACTACGAGCTGGTGAAAGAGAGGAAGAACAGAGGCATGGAGTCTACTGTGGCCATCGCCCGCATGGAGCAGGTACACACACACACACACCTTTGAATCTAATTCACCTTTGAACCTGCATCTGTAACAATGAGTGGACAAAAGAAAAGTCGACAATGAGTGCTAAGTGTTTAATGAGGAGTGGACGGCTAAATATTTGTTCACCGATCTGCTGCCGGCCCGGCCCGTCGGTCAGTTTAAGGATGAGTTGCTCAGTGACCTCCCCCTCTGATTTTGAGGGAGTTAATAATCTTTTTTGCATATAGATTTTATGACCTGACTTTGTCAGCATTGACCCTTCAAGGTTCAGGGCTGATTTCAGGCCATTTCTAACCCATGAAACAACCATTTATTTGAATACATTTGAGTAAGAAGAGGCAATTTAACACCAGTGTTGATGTGTGTCTCAGTTGAGTCGTAGCATTTAGTTAATTCTTCCAAAAACATGTTTAATTGTTCAGTACATTACTTTAAAATGTGTTTCCCTTTCTTCTCTCCAGCTGTCCCCGTTCCCCTTCGACCAGGTGAAGGCCGAGTCGGAGCTTTATGCCAATGCTGACCTGGTGTGGTGTCAGGAGGAGCACAAGAACCAGGGTTACTACGACTACGTGAAGCCCCGCATCAGGACCACCACCCAGAGAGCCAAACCTGTGTGGTGAGCATCCCTATCCTCCATATGAGCAGGGGGCTGGATACCTTGCTGTTTAAATGTCTTAAATCAACCTTTCAAAAGTCTTCAAAATGCTAAGATTTGTTGGGACACATTTTATTAACCTTTTTTTAATTAGTTAGTAATAACGATTTGGTTATATAGTTTACCGGAAGCTTAACGTCACTGATAAGAGCACAGAACTGCCACAACATGTTTTGTTAGATGGTGAGGCTCATGCAGATAAGCAGGTGCTTTGGCATGCTGGAAAGAAAATGGGAAAATTCATTAATAATTGGCTATTAGTACTACTAAAAGGATATTTAGATACCCCAGTATCTAACAGTACGGACACACATATATATCTTTATTACCAAGGTTTGAATTCAAATTAAGGGTTGAAAAAGTGAGTTGCTCTCTCTCCACTCATTTTATCAACATGAAACACAATTAGTATAACTGTAGGAAAATATATAGAAATCAAATTGATAAATAATACTTGTTAGGCCTACACATCTGCTACGTGCATATCACCATTCAAACAAGTTGAGTAAAAGAAAATGGCTTAAACGCTACCAAACTCACTACTCACATTTGTTTTCATTTGACAGTAATTAGGATAGCCTTCATACTTCGCCTTTTGGTATAACATATGTTTGCACTAGCAAGTTACAGCATAAGACTTCCAACTCTTAATAAGCATCGTAACTTACGATCTGTTGTTTGTGTGAACGCTGGAATGGTGAGTAACTTTAAAGGTCACCTATTATTAGGGATGCTCCGATCACCAATTTTGGGGCCGGAATCAGTATCGACTGATCGCCGATCCGATCGAGTGGGCGGGGCCTATGGGGATCTTCCATTTAAAGTGATGTTTACAACTCAGTTAATGGGGCTCATTCACTGGCGCTTCCACAAACAACAACCAACATAATTATTACATTCAAATGAAGTACATTATTCAAGTTGACATGAGAGATGAGCGGAGCCGCTCTCTTTTCCTCTCTCTCTCTCTCCTGACAGCCAGTCAGTATCGTCTCATGCAGCTCACTGATCCAGTAATGACTGAGTGACCCGACAGTGGAGAATAAACATATGTATAACTAGTTTAGCTTGTTCCAGAGGTAGATAAAATAGCTAAGTGTGTTAGGTCTAACTCTTAGTGTGTGTTGCTCCGCTCACCGGTCCGTCACAGCGGGTGGAGCTGCAGGATTTCTGCTTCACACACGTTGCATACCGCTATTTCACTGTCATTTTCGGACACCTTAAAATTAGGGCTGCAACAAACGACTAATTTGATAATCAAACCCTCTTATTTAGCCATCAACTTTTAGATTTAGCTTGAGGTTGTTTTAGGCATGTGGAAACTAACAATGAAGACAATAAAGATGAATACTTGATTCAAAAATACATATATTATTAAATTAACTAAACACATTTTGAACAAAACTAACATTGCTTTTAATTTAAATTAAATAAATAATATTTCACATCAAAAGAAACAACAATGTTTTAACAAATCGTATTAAATAATCTGATGACAGAACTGTAAACAGAATAGCTGAAACTTTAACAAAATAAAGAGTAACTCAGTTACCTCTAATCATTAACCCATGTTTGTATCATGTAGTTAACTCTGTGTGTTGCTGCTAGCATACATAACACCTGACGTGGAAACGTTACTCGTGGATGGGGCTACAGAGCTGCTAGAAAGACAGTTGAACCCGGTGCATTCCTCCGTCTGGATGTGGTGCACTTTTGATAAATGTTTTGACACATTGCTCGTGTTACCGCCCTTACATGCTAAACACTCTTGGCAACGAGCATTGTCCACCTCAAGATGGGTAACATTTAACCACACCTTGGAGCGCTTCTCTCCGCCATCCCCGCCGTGTGTTGCTGCATGTAGCAGCTGCGTGTGTGTAAACTGCCCCGCCCCCTCGCACACAGGAGAGAGAGTGAGAGAGTGTGAGAGTGAGAGTGAGTGAGTGTGAGTGAGTGAGAGTGAGTGTGAGAGTGTGAGTGAGAGAGAGTGAGTGTGAGAGAGAGAGAGAGTGAGTGAGTGTGAGAGAGGTCACTAACGGCCCGTCCACACAGCGGCTTTGGAAAAAGCGACAACAACAACAACAGCCAATCACATGAATCTCCCGCCCCTGACACACAAGCAACGGTTTGATTGGCTAGAGCTTGTACTGGCATATGATTTGATTGGCTGACGCTTCCACCGAAAGCTTCAGAAGCTTCAAAAGTTGAACATTGCTCAACTTTTGCAGCCTGAAACGCCAGGAAAGCTCCGCTCTGCTTCCCACAATGCAGTTCGGCGAAAAGTGACGTCACCCCATTCAAAGTGAATGGTCAGAAGCTTCCAACGCCGCTGTGTGGACGGGCCGTAACACTGCAATATAATGTTTATGCAGCAATAATACATATGACATATATTTTTTAAATGTCTCCAGTACCGATAAAAAGACCGATAACGTTGGAGCTTAACGGCACGTAAAACACACGTGATGACGTCACCAACGAATCGACGACTGAATTAGTTGGCAACTAATTTGGTTATCGATTTTAATCGATTAAGTCGATTAGTTGTTGCACCCTTACTTAAAATACTGCCAGACTGGTGAAGCCATTTTGGCGAGCTTGTTTTGAAAAACACAGAGAAAAGTGTCATGTATACGTCATGTGATCGGCTCTCCTGGTCGGCCTTCATAGAGAGCACCGATCGATCGGCAGAGAGTGAATATCTCAGCTCAAGTGTCAGCTCAGGTAATTTGACCTTTGACCCCCCCTCTCTCTCTCTTCAGGTATGCTGGCAGAGGCCCCGCTGCCGCCCCAGCGACAGGAAACAAGAAGGCTCACCTGATGGAGCTGAAGCGCTTACTGGACAACGCCTTCGGCCTGGACGCGTTCAAAGACCAGCAGTAGACCTGTGACCTCTGACCTGCAACACCTGGAATAAACCTTCACCTGTCTGACCTTTGACCCCCAACCCTCCTGGATTCAGTGTTGACACATATTCACTGCACACACTCACACACACATTGTAATACTGCATATGCTAATAATACATTTGCGTACTTCTACAATTACAGCACACTGCAGATTCTCCAAACATGGTGAAATACTTAGTACACAGTGTACTACATAAAGATCATCACAAATGTTACAGTTTAAAAACTGCAGAAATTGATACAACTTATTGGGGACTTTGTATGGGAAAAATATATATATTACTTAATATTCCGGAATATTCCAGATTTTCTTGCGAATATATACATTTATTATCTCAGAGTATATTCAAGTTTTTCTCCGTAACTTTATATCTTCGAGGAATATAACATTTTTCTTTGTAAATGTACCACTTTGATATCAGAGAATCTCCACGTTTTCTCTGAAGAAATTCATTGTTACTCCGACGTTTTATTCCAGTAACCTGAGACCGACCTGCAGTGTGTACATTATGGTATCTGTATTTGGTATTATTGTAGCAGACGCATTGTGTTATTAATCTATTCGTGGTATATAAGTGTACTACTGAAGTACACAGTGTACTACTGCAGTAAAGACATGAACTGTCAGTGCAGTAAGTACTGTGCACTGTTCAGTACTACAGCAGCACTCAGCTCCACTACAGCAACACAACATGTAGCTTTAACACAGACTACTACTGATACAAAGTATTTGATACTCAAGCATCTAAACTCGAGTAATACATGATATACAGAGTCTAAAGACGGACAGAGATGTCAATGAGAGAAAATGCAACCGATGACAAAGCTCCTGTTGCTTTAAATTCACTGTCAATTAAATATATTAGAAACGCTGATCTAGCAATGCAAGAACTACAAAATTGTGCTCTTAAATCAGCAACATTTTGAACAAGGTCTGGTGCTGTGTAACAACAGAGGTTTGGGCCTTTTTCTCTGTTCTGCAGTCATGAAGACATTGTAGCCAACATGAAACAAACTGTTGGAAAAATAAGAAAATAAAAAGTTGACTGGTGGAGTGAAGCCTGAACCTGAGTTTAAAGGTCAAACACACACACACACACACACACACACACCTTCCTCCGTCCACACACACTCCAGCTGTATTATGTAACTGCATGTCAGCAGTCATTACGTCATCACCATCATCTCTACTTCCCCTGAAGCGTTGCAGGAAACATTTTACTTTTAGTTTAACATAAATGCTCATTAGCATATGTAGCGCTCCCTGTTGAAAGCCAATGGGAATGCGGCTAGCTGGTACAGTGAGAGTGGAATCTCTACAGCAGGTGGAGGGTTTTCTTGCCTTTCAGCAGGTATGTTAAAGAACAAGTCTGTAACTAGTCACCATGGCAGCGCTTAACTCGCACATTGAGATTTTAATGTTTTACTTTGACAAAGGATTTTTGGGGAATAAAATGGCGGAGGTCTGTGCCATCAGGTGTCCCTACATGAGCTCAACCAAATGCACTGCTGAATATGATTTAATCCCTCGGCTTCTTTTCTTTAGCTCTCTCTTATCTATCGCGAGCGTTTATCTCGTGCCAAAACAGAGCGTCTCATGTTTTTATTATTTACTACTTCGTGTTTCAGCTGAATGAACTCTTGTCAGCAGGAAATAAAATCGCCTGGTTTTTAAAAAATAAAATGACAACAGAAGTTGAAATCAGCTGCTGCAAATGGTGTTCTGGTCTTCTGTGAGACAAAGAAAATAATTTATTTATTTTCATAATAGGGGATTGAAATTCTCTTTATTCTTTTTTGCTTCATTCAATAAAGAATACAGTATGTACTGAAGAGCTGTTTGTTTTTCATTTATTTACATTGTTTCTTTTGTAACAGCTGCAGCCTTTATTTTAATATGAAATTAAATATAATTGTCAATCTGTAAAATTATGCTCAGACCATATTTTTAAATATATATATTTCAATTTATTTTTTAAATGGTGAATACTACAAAACACATCAAGACCAACGCAGTTTTCTTTCTCTGCCATCCAGAGATATGAGAAGACAAAACTGGTCTAAGGACATTGATCAACATGTTGTCCCATCTGATTCCACACAGCTTAAGCTGGCCTTCAAACTGAGGGAGGAAGTCTTTGTACTGCAAGCAAGTATCAAGGATCTTGTACTTAATTAGAAGTACCAGAGTGTAGGAATACTCTGTTACAGTAAAGGTCCTGCATGCAAAATGTTACTCAAGTAAAAGTACAAAAGTATTAGCACCTAAATAAACTTAAAGTACCAAAAGTAAAAGTAGTCATTGTGCAGATTGGTCCATTTCAGAATAATATATATGATGTGTTTTATAATGATTGATCATTAAAGCTGGTAAAAGTGCAGCTAGTTTGAATGACTGTATACTGCAGGGTAGCTTGTGAATTTCCTCCAGGTGGAACTAAAGTCTTATTTAAGACTTGATTATATTTCACATCATTAATCCAGATCTGCAAAGTACCTAAAGGTACAAAATAAATGTTGTGGAGTTGTTAGGAAAAATATCACTCGTCACCGGCTTGGTCTTCAATATCAGGATACATGTATTTATTATCCTTGCAAGGATGGAAGTATCATCACACACAGGGACAAATGGTTCCCCGAATAGTGTCCTTGACATGCTTATAATACAAGAGTGTTACAATCACAATATGCAGAATACCGGTTCAAAGCAGTATTCTGACATTAGTTAAGATTAGCTAAGGCCTGCTTAAGCATGGCAGTCATATGCAGTAGCGGTTCTACGGGGTGGCAGCTGCCACCTCAGAAAAATGCCTTGCCACCCCAGTTGGCAGCTTTGTTTTGAAAGAAAAGTTGTGGCTCATCGGACATTTATGAGAGAAAATCTTGAATGTCCGAGTGCAAGTGAATGCAGCACAAGACGCGAGCCTTGTAACCCCTCCCCCGGCCCTGGCGCGAGCGTGGAAATATGATTGGCGGCGATTTCATTTGAACGGGGGACAGCGCAAAACGAGAAGCATTTCGGATCCAAGTAGACGGAAGGAATGAGGTATTTGCGGTCAGTGTATGGCTGGGGTAGGCTAAAGCCATACCAAGAAATGGCTTAGCCCCACCATGAAAAATGATGTTAAAGTAAGCCAAATTAATTCCGCCAACTCGCGCGGAGTAAATTGCACAGACAGCAGTTAGTAAGATTGATTTCAGTAGCCACTTGTCTGGAAATACCGAAGACTAGAAACGGTTTTGAAAACTTTTGTCACGTATAACGGAGTGGTGTTGTTGCAGGAAGTCCCGACGGAGAATACTTTTGCTGTAGTACATCTCTATATACATCGATACAACATTACATGTTGATAGAAATCAACACGTAATGAAATAAGACCCCACGGTGTGATGATTGATAGGTGTGTGGGCTGTCTTTCATTTTGACACACAGAACAATGGGGGCTATCCACCCTTATCCACAATGTAAAGTAATTCACAGCCTCTTCTCTCTGTGAGGAGCAGCAGGTTCAGCTTTCAGAACAAAGTAACAAAAAACTAAAATGGCATTCATTTTTTTAAATATGTCGTGTAGTAATAGATGTATTTAATTTTCTTCTCAAGAGAGTACCAGAATGTGTATTTTATGTTAGTATAACATAAAATACTGTTCTTAAAATGTATAAACGAACAATAGTTTGATTAATATTGATTAGAGTGCACAATAGAAATAAAATAATTGAGAGAAGAAAAAGAGATATGTTATCTATCAAAACCCAGTTAGATTAACATTCATTGGACTGCACACTTTGTTTGTTTGTTTGGATATGTAGCACATTAACATTTGAAATAGCACTTAATGACTGACTGAATGGAAATGACAATAAATGAAAATGTAAAATGAAAAAAGCGATCATTAAAATCCATCCATCTTCTCCCGCTTATCCGTGGTCGGGTCGCGGGGGTAGCACTTCCAGCAGAGAGCCCCAAACTTTATTTTCCCTGGCGACATCAACCAGCTCTGACTGGGGGATCCCAAGGTGCTCCTAGGCCAGCGAAGAGATATAATCCCTCCGCCTGGTCCTAGGTCTACCCCTTGGTCTCTTCCCAGCTGGACGTGCCTGGAACACCTCCCTAGGGAGGTGCCCAGGTGGCATCCTAACTAGGTGCCCGAACCACCTCAACTGGCTCCTTTCGACGCGAAGGAGGAGCGGCTCAACTCCGAGTCCCTCCCGGATGACCGAACTTCTCACCTTATCCCTAAGGGAGACACCAGCCACCCTGCGGAGAAAACCCATCTCGGCCGCTTGTATCCGCGATCTCGTTCTTTCGGTCATGACCCATCCTTCATGACCATAGGTGAGGGTAGGAACGAAAATGGCCCGGTAGACAGAGAGCTTTGCCTTCTGGCTCAGCTCCCTTTTCGTCACAACGGTGCGGTAAAGCGACTGCAGTACCGCTCCCGCTGCTCCGATTCTCCGGCCCATCTCACGCTCCATTGTTCCCTCACTCGAGAAAAAGACCCCAAGATACTTGAACTCCTTCACTTGGGGTAAGGACTCATTCCCTACTTGGAGTGGACAGTCCATCGGTTTCCTGCTGAGAACCATGGCCTCAGATTTGGAGGTGCTGATCCTCATCCCAGCCGCTTCACACTCGGTTGCGAACCGATCCAGTGAGTGCTGAAGGTCGCAGACCGATGAAGCCATCAGAACCACATCATCTACAAAAAGCAGTGGTGCAATCCTTAGTCCACCGAACTGCAGACCCCCTCCCCCATGACTACGCCTCAAAATCCGATCCATGTATATTACAAACAGGATTGGTGACAAAGCGCAGCCCTGGCGGAGGCCAACCCTCACCGGAAATGGGTCCGACTTACTGCCGAGGACCCGGACACAGCTCTCGCTTTGGGAGTACAGAGATTGGATGGCCCTGAATAGAGACCCCCTCAGCACCTCCCACAGTAACTCCCTGGGAACTCGGTCATACGCCTTCTCCAAGTCTACAAAACACATGTAGACCGGATAAGCGTACTCTCAGGCCCCCTCCAGGATCCTTGCGAGAGTAAAAAGCTGATCCGTCGTTCCACGACCAGGACGGAATCCGCATTGTTCCTCCTCAATCTGAGGTTCAACAATCGGCCTGACCCTCCTTTCGAGTACCTTAGAGTAAACTTTCCCGGGATGGCTGAGTAGTGTGATGCCTCTGTAATTGGCACACACCCTCTGATCCCCCTTTTTAAAAAGGGGAACCACCACCCCGGTCTGCCACTCCTTCGGTACTGTTTCCGACTTCCACGCAACGTTGATGAGACGTGTCAACCATGACAGTCCCTCAACACCCAGAGCCTTCAGCATTTCTGGGCGGATCTCATCCACCCCCGGGGCTTTGCCACTGTGGAGTTGTTTGACGACCTCAGTGACCTCCCCCCGGGAGATTGGTGTTGATCCCCCGTCATACTCCAGCTCTGCCTCTAACATAGAGGGCGGAGTTGTCGGGTTCAGGAGTTCCTCAAAGTGTTCCTTCCAACGCCCTAACACTCCATCAGTTGAGGTCAACAACGTCCCATCCTTACTGTACACATCTTGAATGGTTCCCTGCTTCCCCCCCCTGAGGTGTCGGACAGTTTTCCAGAACAACTTTGGTGCCGCCCGAAAGTCCTTCTCCATGTCTTCTCCGAACTTCTCCCACACCCGCTGCTTTGCCTCGGCCACGGATGAGGCTGCTGCCCTTCGGGCCTGTCGGTACCTTGCAACTGCCTCGGGAGTCCCCCGGGATAATAAATCCCTGAAGGCCTCCTTCTTCAGTTGGACGGCTTCCCTGACCACCGGTGTCCACCAGGAGGTTCGAGGGTTACCGCCCCTTGAGGCACCTAGGACCTTGAGACCACAGCTCCCCGCCGCGGCTTCGGCAATAGAGGCTTTGAACACCGACCACTCTGGTTCAATGTCCCCAACCTCCACAGGAATGCCCGAAAAGCTCCGCCGGAGGTGTGAGTTAAAGGCCTCCTGAACTTGGGCCTCCTCCAGACGTTCCCAGTTCACCCGAACTACACGTTTGGGCTTAGCAGGTCTATCCAGAGGCTTCCCCCGCCACTCGACCCAACTCACCACCAGATGGTGATCAGTTGACAACTCCGCCCCTCTCTTTACCCGAGTGTCCAAAACATACGGCCTCAGGTCAGATGATACGATAACGAAATCGATCATGGACCTTCTGCCTAGGGTGCTCTGGTACCACGTACACTTATGAGCATCCTTATGTTCGAACATGGTGTTTGTTATGGCCAATCCATGACTATCACAGAAGTCCAGTAACAAACCACCACTCCGGTTCAGATCAGGGGGGCCGTTCCTCCCAATCACGCCCCTCCAAGTGTCTCCATCATTGCCCACATGTGCGTTGAAGTCTCCCAGCAAGATTAAACAGTCCCCTTCAGGAGCCCCATACAGGACTCTTTCCAGGGTCTCCAAGAAGGCTGTATACTCTGAACTGCTGTTGGGTGCATAAGCACACACAACAGTCAGAGTTTTCCCCCCCATAACCCGCAGGCGTAGGGAGGCGACCCTCTCGTCCACTGGGGTAAACTCCAACAACGAAGCACCCAACCGGGGACTTGTGAGTATCCCCACACCCGCCCGGCGCCTCACACCTTGAGCAACTCCGGAGAAGAATAGAGTCCAACCCCTATCCAGAAGTAAGGTTCCAGAGCCGACGCTGTGCATAGAGGTGAGCCCAACCAGATCCAACTGGTAACGCTCCACCTCCCGCACAAGCTCCGGCTCCTTCCCCCCCAGAGAGGTGACGTTCCACGTCCCCAAAGCCAGCTTCTGTCGCCCGGGTCTGGTCCG